AAGTTGCATCAAAATGTACATGTGAAACTTAAATAATGTTATAAATAAGCTACCTCAATTTTTTAAAAGAAGAAATTATCAAAAGAATACATGTAGAGTCTACATGTAAGTAAGAAAACAATCTCTAAAGGCTGTTTAATTGCCATATGTTGTCCTAAGTCATTCTTGGTTTGAGTAATTATAATCAAGATAACAAATATTAATGGTTATCAAAACAATCAACAAGGACAATATTGAACTAAATAACTATAGAGTTAGCAAAGTGAGATATTTGAATTAAGGATTTTAAAATAATGAAATGAAGTCCTTAAATTTTTAAAGTTCTTACTGACAATGTTAGATTAAGAAAACCACACTAATATTAATGCTAATAAATACTAAGAGTTTTGATTCTTTTTTGACAATTATATCCCCTCATTCCTGGTAGCTCTACTGAAATCCATAATTACAGATCTGGCTGCCCATTAGGGCAGCGGTCCCCAACCTTTTTGGCATTAGGCACTGGTTTCATGGAAGACCATTTTTCCATGGACAGCAGGAGCAGGAGCAGGTGCAGAGACAGTTCAGTCAGTGATACAAGCAATGGGGAGTGATGAGGAGCAGCCAATGAAGCTTTGCTCACTTACCAACCTGCTCCTCACCTCCTGCTGCGCAGTTGGTCCATGGCCCGGGATTTGGGGACCCCTGCAATAGGCCTCTTCCCTTAGATACCTCATAACCATCTCAAGTACTGCTGTTTTTCCTATTAAATCTGCTTATAATGTTCAGTTGCTAAGTCGTGTCCAACTCTGACGCCATGGGTTGTAGCCCGCCAGACTTCTCTATCCATGAGATTTCCCAGACAAGAACACTGGAGTGGGTTGCCATTTCCTCCTCCAGGGGATCTTCCTGACCCGGGGTCAAATTCGCATCTCCTGCATTGGTAGGCAGGTGCTTCACCACTAAGCTAGCTGGGAAGCCCCATGCGTGTGTGCGAGTTCTCAGTCGCTAAGTCCTGTCCGACTCTTTGAAGCCCTGTGGACTACAGTCTGCCGGCCTCCTCTGAATTCCAGAATGGGCTGCCATTTCCCCCTCCAAGGGCCCTTCCTGACCCAGGATCAAACACAAGCCGCCTATGTCTCCTGCACTGCAGGCAAATTCTACACAACTGCACCATCTGGGAAGCCCTCTGTTATTTTGTTGTCACTCAGTCATATCCAACTCTTTGCCAGCCCACAGCAAGCCAGACTTCCCTGTCCCTCACTATATCCCAGAGTTTGCTCAAACTTATGTCCACTGAGTCGGTAATGGCATCCAACCATCTCATCCTCTGTTGCCCCATTCTCCCTGCCCTCAGTCTTTCCCAGCATCAGGGTCTTTTCCAATGAGTCAGCTCTTCACATCAGCTGGCCAAAATATTGGAGTTTCAGCTTCAACATCAGTCCTTCCAATGAATATTAAGGACTGATTTCCTTTAGGATGGACTGGTTGGATCTCCTTGAAGTTCAAGGGACTCTCAAGAGTCCTCTCAAGCACCACAATTTGAAAGCATCAATTCTTTGGAGCTCAGCCTTCTTTATGGTCCAACTCCCAGGTGGCGACAGTGGTAAAGAACCCACCTGCCAATGCAGGAAATGTAAGAAAATCAGGTTCAATCCCTGGCTTGGAAAAATACCCTGGTGTAGGAAATGGCAATCCACTCCACTATTCTTGCCTGGAAAATCCCATGGACAGAGGAGCCTGGCAGCCTACTGTCCACAGGTGCACAAAGAGTTGGACACTACTGAAGCAGCTTAGCATGCATGCATGCTCATATCCACACATGACTACTAAAAAAAAACATAGCTTTGACTATATGCACCTTTGTCACAAAGTGATGTCTCTGCTTTTTAATACACTGTCTAGGTTTGTCATAGCTTTTCTCTCATGGAGCAAGCATCTTTTAATTTCAAGGTTGCAGTCACTGTCCACAGTGATTTTGGAGCCCAAGAAAAGAAAGTCTGTCACTGTTTCCATTTTTTTCCCATCTATTTGTCATGAAGTGATGGAACTGGATGCCATTTTCTTATTTTTTTGGATGTTGAGTTTTAAGCCAGCTTTTCCACTCTCTTTCTTTCACCTTCATCAAGAGGCTCTTTAGTTCCTCTTCACTTTCTGTCATTAGTGTGGTGTCATCTGCATATCTGAGGTTATTGATACTTGTCCCAGCAACCTTGGCTCTAGCTTGTGATTCATCCAGCCTGGCATTTTGCATGATGAACTCCGCATAGTAAATAAGCAGGGTGACAATTTACAACCTTAAGTACTCCTTTCCCAATTTTGAACCAGTCTGTTGTTCCATATCTGGTTCTAACTGTTGCTTTTTGACCTGCATAGAGGTTTCTCGGGAGACAGGAAAGGTGGTCTGGTATTCCTATCGCTTTAAGAATTTTCTGGTTTGTTGTGATCCACACAGTCAAAGGCTGCAGCGTAGTCAGTGAAGCAGAAGTATATGTTTTTCTGGAATTCCCTTGCTTTTTCTATGATCCAACAGATGTTGGCAATTTGATGTCGTTCCTCTTCCTTTTCTAAATCCAGCTTGTAGAAGTTCTCAGCTCATGTACTGCTGAAAACTAGCTTGAAGGATTTTGATCATGACCTTGTTAGCATCTGAAATGTGTGCAACTGTACAGTAGTTTAGGAGAAGGCAATGGCACCCTACTCCAGTACTCTTGCCTGGAAAATCCCATGGACGGAAGAGCCTGGTAGGCTGCAGTCCATGGGGTCGCGAAGAGTCAGACACGACTGAGCGACTTCACTTTCACTTTTCACTTTCATGCACTGGAGAAGGAAATGGCAGCCCACTCCACTGTTCTTGCCTGGAGAATCCCAGGGACAGCAGAGCTGGTGGGCTGCCCTCTATGGGGTCGCACAGAGTCAGACACGACTGAAGCGACTTAGCAGCAGCAGCAGCAGCAGTTCAGTAGTTTGAACATTCTTTGGAACTGCCCTTCTTTGAGACTAGAATGAAAACTGACCTTTTGCAGTCATGTGGCCACTGCTGAGTTTTCCAAATTTGCTGGCATACTGAGTACATCATTTTAACAGCATCATCTTTTAGGATTTAAAATAGCTCAGCTGAAATTCCATCACCTCCACTAGCTTTGTTTATAGTAATACTTCCTAAGTCCTCCTTGACTTTACACTCCAGGAAGCCCTGGGAAGCCCTAAAACATGTTTATAATAGTCCTCTTTATATCAGTAAATTGAACCAACATCCGCCCAATTTTTCAAGTCAAAAGCTTTGTAATCAGTCTTAATTCCTTCTTCTTTCACCTTATCCTCTCCATGCCCAAATCAAAACCATCAGCAAGCACAACAGGGCTTATCTACAAAATACATCCTCATTCATCTCCACCTTAATTCTAACGATCATCAGCAGTAACTATTCACCCCCAAACTTCAAACCTAGTTCCATGTCGAATTGGGTCAATCCAATCCTATTGCTGGAACTCTATCTTTACTGAACCAAGGTCTCCTCCTCAAGTCACAACACCTCCACATGCCTTCTGTAAAGACATCACCATCTCCCAGAATCCTCAACTGGAACGAAAAAGGATATGGGCTGCTCTTCTGCTATCCAGACATGAATCTTACTATGACCTTTCATAATTTATCCATGGTCTCTAGCACCACAGGTGCTTTCTGACTTCCCTAATGCTATTCAAGTTCTAACTATATCCTGAACCCACTTCAGGGTCTATCTATTCCATGACACCTATTACTATCAGTCTTACTCATGTTGACCTTGACCTTCTCTGAACGTAATTAAACTACTAGGCACTTAAACTCCTACACTCCTACTTACTTGTTTCATGTGTGTTTATCTACTCTCCCTCAAATACAATAGAGTTTTAGTTCCTAAAGGCCAGGGATTATTTACTCTGGTGCCTGTCACAATGCTTTATACCCTTCAAGTATTTAATAAGTATTAAACAAATTAAATAATCCTTTATAAAATGCTCTCTGGTGCTCAGCCCAGCACTTCACACATAATAAGCACTGAATAAATAGCCAGTGAATAAAAACTTTACAAATATAAAGCAAAGAAAAAAATAATCCAAAAAAAGATATAATTTCTAAATATAATTTGGACCTTATCAACATGTCAAAATTTTGTTTTAAATTAATTCTGATATTCCAGAGGGACCTTCAGAGGTATTGCATTATTTACCATGAATTCTTCTTGAATAACAAAGCTTGTTTGAGGGTAAGGCTGGAAATTACTATGAGAGCAAATATGCCTTAAAAAAGAAAATTGGTATTCTTTACCAAAGAAGATTAAAGGCTAATATTTTTCAAACAAACATAAGGAACATCACCTTCAAATAGAACAAAAGCATTTCTAGTACTGAGATAACCTGCTCCGTGGTGTGTTAATTTCAAAAATAATATTCACAAATTCCCCCTCAAAATATCTTTAAAAAGTTTAACAACCTGCAATTTATTATAAACTTTATATCTTCTACACAGATTTTTTTGACATGCCAAAAATACTATCTAATTTCACTAGTTTTCCATGACTCTGATAAATTCAAAGTGCACTGAAAATGAACGGGACAGGACAGCTTCTTCCCTTAATGAATCATGCACTTACTTCCTGAAATACAGAAGCTTTAAGGGACATCTTATTGGCTTTCAGCAACCCATGAACTTTGAGACCTTGGGCCAGCAATCAGACACTTCCCTGTGGAGTAAAACTTTTTTTTTATCACTTTTGCTTACTGAGTTCTCATTCTTTATGTTGGCAAAAAGACAAATTGCAAACTGCACAATCAGTGACAAACAGACATCAAAGGACTTCATTTTAAAAGGTTTTATTCTGGGACTTCCCTGGTGGTCCCCTGGCTGTGACTCCACGCTCCCAATGCAGGGGCCCGGGTTCGATCCCTGGTCAGGGAACTAGATCCCACATGCAGCAACTAAGACCTGGCACAGCCAAATAAATAAATATTTTTTTAAAAATACCCTTTCCCTCGGGCGGTGAGCTACTGTTGGGTATCTTGGCTGGCAGGTAAAGCTGGGAGGTCCCGGCCAGGGGCGCTGGTTGGAGACATGATTGCAATGTGGGCCTTAGGATTTGAGCCAAAGAAAGAAGAAATTAAAAAGATGATAGCTGAAACTGACAAAGAAGGAATTGGCACCATTAGTTTTGAAGAATTTTTTGCCATAATGAGTGTAAAAATGAGTGAAAAGGATGAAAAAGAAGAAATACTGAAGGCTTCCAAATTATTTGATGATGATGATACAGGAAGTATATCACTGAACAATATCAAGAGGGTTGCTAAGGAGCTAGGGGAAATTTTAACAGATGATGAACTTCAGGAAATGCTTGATGAGGCTGATCATGATGGTGATGGAGAAATAAACAAGGAAGAATTTTTGAAAATGATGCAAAAGACCACTCTTTATTAATACTGTCTTTTGTGCCTTCTGGAAAGTTGTTAACAAGTTTGTATTTGTTGTAAGTTCCATAATAGTGAATGTATTCATTTTCAATGTTTAATAAGTTTATATACATAAACTGGTCTCTTGATGTCTAATCCATGTGAGAAGTTACATGTTGCTACCAATATGTTCTTAAATCTATAACATCAAGAACTAAAATGTAGTGACTTCCTTAAAAAAAAAAATACCCTTTCCCACAGTGACGACCTCCTCACGAGAACATGGCTCTCACAAAGGATCTTCTTCATCCCTCTCCAAAAGAGGAGAAGAGGAAACACAAGAAGAAGCGCCTGGTGCAGAGCCCCAATTCCTATTTCACGGATGCAAAATGCCCAGGATGCTGTAAAATCACCACTGTCTTTAGCCATGCAGACAGCAGTTTTGTGTGTTGGCTGTTCTACTGTCCTCTGCCAGCCTGCAGGAGGAAAAGCGAGGCTTACAGAAGGATGCTCTTCCAGACGGAAGCAGCACTAAAAGCACCCTGTATCAAGATGAACGGGAAACCATCCCAATAAGCACGTTTTGGATACAAAAAAAATAATAAATAAATAAAAATTTTTTAATTTTTTAATAATAATAAAAGGTTTTATTTTTATGTTACCTATATTTTTTATACAATGGCAGTATTTTAAAATAATAAACATAAATCTGCCTGTTTTTCCTACAATGTAAATGTTTCTCTGTTAAAAAATAAAGCACATTTTGTGGAGAAACTGGAGTCTTCAATACATTGTCAGTGGAAATGTTGAGATGGTGTGCAGACTTTTGAAAAAGTTTGGCAGTTCTTCAAAAAGTTAAATACAAAGTTACCACACAACCCAGAAATTTCATTATCTGCTCTTCCATATATATACTGAAATACCATAATAGTTATTTACTTACCTTAAAAACACTATTTTCATTTTGGAAGTTTCAGTTCAGTTCAGTTCGATCTCTCAGTCCTGTCTGACTCTTTGCGACCCCATGGACTGCAGCACGCCAGGCCTCCCTATCCATCACCAACTCCCGGAGTTTACTCAAGCTCATGTCCATTGAGTCAGTGATGCCATCCAACCATCTTATCTTCCGTCCTCCCCTTCTCCTCCTGCCTTCAATCTTTCCCAGCATCAGAGTCTTTTCAAATGAGTCAATTCTTTGCATCAGGTGGCCAAAGTATTGGAGTTTCAGCTTTAGCATCAGTCCTTCCAATGAATATTCAGGATTGATTTCCTTTAGGATGGATTGGTTGGTCTCCTTGCAGTCCAAGAGACTCTCAAGAGTATTCACCAACACTACAGTTTAAAAGCATCAATTCTTCGGTGCTCAGCTTTCTTTGTAGTGAAATCATCCAGCATTTCACATCCATACATGACTACTGGAAAAACCACAGCTTTGACTAGACAGACCTTTGTTGGCAAAGTAATGTCTCTGCCTTTTAATATGCTGTCTAGGTTGGTCATAGCTTTTCTTCCAAGGAGCAAGCATCTTTTAATTTCATTTGGAAGTTTAGCATGTCAAAAATAATAGGTGTCAAAAACAGTACATGCCTGTGTGTACTCTCTACTTTCTAAGGCAATACAAATTATAAAACTATAAAATTATAAATTTATAAAATTATAAAACTATCCAAAGAGATAAGTCAAGCCCTCAAAAGAAAAGAGTTCTCTTCACCATTTGACTGAAAATAAACTGTCAGTACAGGCAAGATGCTTGATTTAGTCACTGTTAAAAGATGTTACCTCAGACTGCTAGAAAGTCAGCATGATCTCTAAGATCAGATCTGTCTCATGTCTCCCTTCCTTACGGACTTTCAGATCCTGAAGGCCCAGGTGGTTCTAGACTTCTCTATGAAGTCTTCAAACTTTGACCACCTTCCCTTCTGAGTTGATAGCATTCTTTTGGCAAATAATTACATACAACCTCATGATAAACCTTCTATTATTTAATTTTCCATTTCCTTCTCCAGTGCATGAAAGTGAAAAGTGAAAGTGAAGTCGCTCAGTCATGTCAGACTCTTCACGACCCCATGGACTGCAGCCTACCAGACTCCTTTGTCCATGGGATCTTCCAGGCAAGAGTACTGGAATGGGGTGCCATTGCCTTCTCCAATTCAAACAGCACATAACGTTTACTTTGTAGTTTCTAAATGCCAAGCAAGGTGCTACACATGTCATGTCTATTTCCATTCTAATTCTGACCCTACAACTTCCTCACTACACAAATTAGCAATTCTCTGAATCTTACTTTTCACATTTGTAAAATAGAAATGATATTTAAGCAACTTATCTTACATGTTTATTATGAGGATCATGTAAGAAGAAGCAAGCAAAGGTAAGAAAAAAGAGAAAGTGGATCAAGCATTATAAAAATTCGGTTGATGGCATTATTATTAATAGAAAAAACTTCTAAAACAATTATTTGAAAAGTAGTCAGAGAACTTTCGTGTATTTCATTAGATGTGCCCAATCATAACATAGTGTGTACCGAACTGTGTCTAACTCCTTGTGAATAAGTCTCCCTATCATCATCAACAATATAAACAAGCTGCACTTTTATCTCTCAATATTTTTGGAATTCAATTTAAAAGTAAAAAAATTTAACATCTAACAACACGTTTATGACTAACTTATTTCTAGCCAAATGTACTCTTAATAATGTGATGGAAGAGAAATAAAATGCAATATATTATGATGAACCTGAATTTCTTTGATTTTTGTTCTTCAATTTAAACTCACTTGACTTTACTAAGGGTTTCCCTGATAGCTCAGTTGGTAAAGAATCAGCCTGCAATGCAGAAGACCCTGGTTCAATTCTTGGGTCAGGAAGATCCACTGGAGAAGGAATAGGCTACCCACTCCAATACTCTTGGATTTCCCTTGTGGCTCAGCTGGTAAAGAATCCACTGGCAATGCGGAAGACCTGGGTTCCATCCCTGGGTTGGGAAGATCCTCTGGAGAAGGGGACTTCACTAAACTGTCACATAAACTAGAAGTGTTTAAAATAAACATATCAAGGGTTAACCATACTTAACTGACAGTGAAAAATCTTTAGTTTTAGAGAGAAAGTTCCTGTTTCAGTAATTTCATCTTTTCAGATAGAAAAGAAACAAGAATATAAATAATAAAATTACAAAAGCAAAGTCAGTAAGGCAATGTACCATGGCACTCAGTCCTGATGCTTCAGTAGGCAAAGATGTTTGAGATATATTTATATGATGGCTTCAAAGTTATTTAAATCACAAATTACCCAACCATGTAGCTAGCACATTTTAACTAATGCTAAAAACATGCGAGGGCTTCCCAGGTGGCACTAAGAATCCTCCTGCTAACGCAGGAGACATAAGAGACACAGGTTCAACCCCTGGGTCGGGAAGGGCACGGCAACCCACTCTAGTATTCTGGCCTGGAAAATTCCACGGACAGAGGAGCCTAGTGGGCTACAGTCCATAAGGTCGCAGAGTCGGACACGACTGAAGCAACTTAAGAAAGTGAAAGTCACTCAGTCTTGTCTGACTCTTTGTGACCATTATGGACTGTAGCCCGCCAGACTCCTCTGTCCATGGAATTCTCCAGGCAAGAATACTGGAGTGGGCAGCCATTCCCTTCTCCAGGGGATCTTCCCAATCCAGGGATCGAACCCAGGTCCTTCACATTGCAGGTGGAAGCAACTTAGCACGTACGCAAAAACATGCTAAAAAACAATCTTCCTACTCTAATTTCATTACCTAATAGCATTCCCACTATCTGCTTTAAAGCTTAAACGTCCAAATGTCTTACAAATTATTCCACATTTTTTCTAATAAAAGCTATTCATATCCAAAAATTGTTTTTTATTTAACTACCTTTTACTAACCACTTCTTTACAATAACCAAACACTAAAAAGAGACTCTATGGATAAGTCATTTATTTTCCAGCAGACGGTATCTATTAGTGGCTAGGTTCTCCTGACACACAACATTCTCTACAACCCATAATCCTATGCAAAACTGTGGATTTTTCCCTCTCATGTCCTTATTAACATAATTTTTGAAGTTTAAATAATATACAATGAAAATATCTTTATCTGCATTGCAACTTGGGGAAAAAAGCAGAGATATGGAATTAATCACAGGAAAACACCCCAAAATGAAATTTACAGATACTGTAATATGCAATATAATATTAGTTACCAAATATAAACCCAAATTAAATGCTGCTGTGTATCCAATTATATTTTATGAAAATTCAAATACTGTACATAAATAATACAGATAAATGCCAATATATAATATTAATGTACATTCAGGAATAATGAAAATGATACTTTCAATTTGCATATTCAGGGATCAAAGCCACATGTTATACATTCTTCAGGAAAAAAGTCTTCAGTGAGAGCTGCTCCTAAAACATTAGCATTTGTGATGCTGATTCCTTTACTTGAGAAAATGAATTGCTATGCCTTCCTGCAGATTTATAAAGGAAGTGAGTTCAAAACATTGATAGGATAGTTTGAAATCAAGAATTTTGTTCTTTTCTCTCAGGATTGCTTTGACTGTTAGGGGTCTTTTTGTGGTTTCACACACATTTTAGGCTCATTTCTCTTATTTCTATGAAGAATTCCTTTGGTTTTTTTTTTTTCTTCCCCTTTGGTATTTTGATGGCAATTGAACTTAACCTGTAGATCATTTTGGGTAGTACTGTCATTTTAACAATATTAATTCTTCTGATCCACGAACAAGGGATATCTCTCTCTTTGTTTGTATCCTCTGTTTCTTTCTTGTCATTTTTATTGTCCAGATCTTTTACTTTTCCAGTTAATTTATTCCTAAATATTTTATTGTTTCTGATGCTACTGTGAATGGGATCGTTTTATTTTTCCAAGCCTTCTTCATTAGTGTAAAGGAATGTCACAGGTTAATATAAGTTGATTTTGTAACCTGCCACTTTACTAAAATCATCAACTACAATTAATTATATCAATTACATGTAATTACTTAATTACAATAGTTTTTGATTGACTCTTTGGGATTTCCTACATGTAAGATCATTGCATCAGCAAGCCATAGTGATAAAAACAATATGGCATTGGCACTAAAACAGACATCTAGACCAATGGAACAGAATAGATAGTCCAGAATCAAATCCCACCCTATATGGTCAACTACTATTCAACAAGGGAACCAATAAAACTAATGAGGAAAGGACAGTCTATTCAGCAAATGGTGCT